AGAGGGGACTGCTCAGTTACTGGCCTGGCACTGGCGAGCGGGATGAGGAGGGACCAGCAGAGAGGGTTAGAATTGCTGAAAGGCTTGGGGACTTTGCTCTCCATGCCAGCTGTGGCCTTGACCAAGTCACTTGGCCTTCTTGAACCTCCATTCCTCACCTGCAGGGTGAGAGGCTACCACCTCTTACCCAGGCTCCTGGGGTGGATAAATGCAGGACCAAACATACTCTTTGCCTGTGCATTTCATTACCATGGGAAAGGGCGAGTCAAGTTATTCACTGTGTGCTGGGGGGTGGGGTGTCAGTCCGGGAGGGCAGCTTCATTGGCTCTTCCAGGAACTGTGGTCCAATTGGGGGTGGTTCCTTGCTCACTGCTAGCCCGGCCATCACTCCGCCCACAGCCAAATTTCCACAAGCCTGCTTCAGGCCCGGTTCCGAGGCAGTTTTCCCACAGATATATGGTTAACTTTGACAAATATTTTAATTTCCTCTATTTTAGGTACCGCTGCAGTTAGAATCCAAATCTGCCCTAGGTCCAAAAAACGGCGTCTATATCAAGATTGTGTCTCGCTGACTCAGAAGGCTGGCAGGGGGCGGGGTGTGGGTGGCGCCGAATCTTGTGGTTGTGACACAACCTGTAAGTTAAAGAGAATGCCTGACATGAAAATTCAGATTTTGGGGGTAAAAAAATCACTGATTAAAAGAGTACATGCAAGTATAAAAGAGGTTATATATGTAACATTTCCTAAATGCTTAATAAACGTTTGTTGCACTTAGTTTTGACATTGCCAGTGGGGGTCAAACCACTGATCTAACTCTCTAAATGAAGGACTGCTGATACATAAGTAAAAATGTAGTTTTGACAAAATGACTAGGAACACGGAGTTTTAAAGGAAGTCCTGGCCTCGGGATGGAAGGAATCTATGATGCAGTGCACATGGGGACACTCCAGTGAGCCTGTCCTGATGGCACCAGTTCGTGGCTTTTTTGGTTTCTTGTGCATCGTGAGTCTTAGAGAATGACATTCATCTGAAGTTCAAGCTCAGAAGTGGTTCCAAAGCTTTATTGCATTGGATTTTCCTAGGTAGGGTAGTACCAACTTTATGGTAAGTTTCAATAGCGGAAATTTTACAGGCTGAAATGTACTTTTTCTCTCAAAGAACATTGTATCTTTTCTTAATTTTGATCAAGGAGAGATGAATTCGAGTAAAAGGAATTGTTGCAGGGCTAAGAAGTTCACATTCAACAAAGCACTTGCAAACCGAATCTGGACCTGCCACCAGCAGCCGTGTGGCTGAGGCTGCTGGGCTTCTCACCTCCGTGTGCCTCGCTTTCCCCTCCATGAAACAGGGGGGCTGCCCTAGATCAAAGACCCCATCCTCCTCTATTCCGCATCTGAGCAGCTCTAAGGGGCTGAATGTTACATGGAGAAAATCTCAGGAGGAATGTGTGAGCCCTTTATGTGACACCAGATGCTGACATCACACCTTCAGAAAATGGCTGTTTTGGGAGAGTTGGCAGAACAGATTTCCAGTCACTGCTGTGGCTGCTGCCTTCCCTGTCTGGTCCTTCCCCACCTCCTTCAGCCCAGGGCACCCACCGCTTCCCCCACGGCTGCCCCTGCAGGGCCCCCTCCTCTCACTCTCCCAGAGGGAGGAGGGCAGCCTCCCTCGCCAGCACTGTGCCAGGCCCAGGAGCTACTACGTCTCGACCACCCATCCTCTGGGAGGTGCTGGCCCATCACCCAGCCCTCTCCACACCCTGGGTGCCACCACCTTCTCTTCTTCATAACCCGGCCCCTCTGCGATGCCTGGCTTGGGGCTTACTCACTGCAGAAAACCATCTATTCCTGGGGACCCATCTGCCTCCCTGACTGCCCCGCCTGTCCCCCAATCCTGACCTCCCTGTGGCCACCACAGAGCTACAGCCTGCAGAGGGGCCCACCTGAGCACTCAGGTCCCTGCTGGGAG